TACCGCGTTTGAACTGTTTATTACATGTTAATTTTTATTTTTCTTTGTATAATTTTTTCTAAAAGAATATTAGGAATGCTATAAACATTACTAATATTCCCCTTAACCACTCGTGGTAAGCTTAAATTGCTTGTGTTACGAGTGGTTCACGCCAGTAGTCGAATGGCGGATTCGAACCCAATTTTTGTATTTGTTGTTTCTGTTTTGTCTCCAATAAAGTAAATAAATAAATACTGAGGGCTGTGCTAGCTCAGGGGCTAAGTGTAAAGAGATCTGATGGTCCATTGAGTAAGTGGAGATTGAGGCAGACTATAAAACGAGTCTTGTGTTCCGGCGCGCCTTATTAATAGGAATAAGAACTCGCTACTTAGTGCCTTTTCCAATATACCGAATTACGTAGTAGAGCCACGCTGTAGCTATATATAATGGTTGTAGTACGAATAGGTCGGCTCAACCAGGGTAGGATCATCCTTTGGTAACCCTTTCGAAGCAAGCATCCTATAGGCGTAACAGCTCTCTACTTATTATCTTTTCTAATATACTCCACAGAGACGTCAAAGTATATTTAAGACATGCGTGGCCCAGACACGTAATGCGCTTATTCTACGTACTACGTATACATATTATAATACGTACTACGTATCATAAGTACTACGACTTTAGCGATTAAAAACTGGTTGTTTCCGCAGAATGACGTGATCCCGCGTGTACTATCACGTTACTAAGTAGTCACGTATAATAGTCAATGAGCGTGCTTGATGGTTTAATAAATACAATTACCTAATGAAAATTATTCTCATTTTCATACGTGGGTAATGGCGCGAAGTGAGCCAGCGTAGCCTTTAGCGGCACGTACACGTGAATTTTTCATTCTAGCATGACAAATAGCAGTTTAACACCATATGGTAAGTGTAGAGAACCGACGACCCTTTTACTGCATACGAGGCATTTCATTCTAGTCCGCTGGGGTGACAACACGTCTGCCTTTTGATGCGTAATTAAGGATACGAGCGAAAATTTCGGGAATCAAGGCAGTGACACAACATTACTATTTAAAAATGTATTTATTGTTTTTCGAAATATTCTCCGCGAAATTTGACACATTTTTCCATAGGATGGAACCAATCATTGAAGCAACCATTCCATTCGGAAGTTGGGGTCTCCAAAATGGCCGTTTTGTAGGCGTCCACAGCTTCTTCAGGTGATGAAAATCTCTGTCCACGCAATTTATTCTTTATTTTAGGGAAAGTATAGAAATCATTAGGGCTTAGGTCGGGGCTGTACAGCGGATGGTCTAATAATTCTATGTTTTCTTGCTCTAAAAACTCTTGTTCTGTGTGCGGTGTGAGAACTCGCATTGTCGTGATGGAGGATGATGCGGCGGTTGCAGTTCTCTTTACGGAGTTCAGAAACGACCTGTGGCAAACAAATACTAGCATACCATTCTGCATTAACCGTTCTTTGCCCTCAAGAGGAATAGTCGTAACATGGCCGGTTTTGGAGACAAACGTGGCCACCATTTTTTTTGCAACACTCCGTGAACGAACAATTTTTGTTTGCTTTAACTCATTTTCGAACACCCAAACTCGTGACTGGTTTTTTGTTTCGGGTTCGTACGTGTATATCCAGGATTCGTCACCTGATACGATGTTGTATACAGCATTTGAGGATCCTGCGTGGCATCTTTCGAGAGTCCTGACGCACCAAGTAACGCGAGCCGCTTTTTGCTCTTCACAGAGCGAATGCGGTATCTATATCCATATCCATCGGGAAAAACAACTTTTTGCAACTAATTGTTCATGCAAGATTATTTATATTTGACTCAGGCCAAATCTAAAGTTGCCTGAATTTCGTGTCGATCTTCCTCAATCAGATAATGATTTCTTAAATTTACGCGAACACTACACATTGCATAAAACTAAATTTATGGATTTTATCGCGTATATATAAACGCGATAAAATCCGTAAATTTAGTTTTATTCAATTCCTCAATCAGCTTACGCACAGCATCAACGTTTTCTTGGGTGACTGCAGTTTTTGGACGACCTTGACGGGGATCATCATTGAGCTTGACACTTCCACGTTGAAATTCAGCAAACCAGCGATAAATTGTGGTTTTGGATGGGACTTCATCACCAAATGCAGAAATCATCCGGTCAACACACTGTTTTTGTGTTAAACCACTTCGAAAGTCGATAAATCTAAATAAATCAAAATTCGCTCTTGAATTTTCTCGAGTCAATTCCGTTTCCTCAACAACTAAACAAATTTGAAAAAACCTTGTGACAAGACCGAGAATCTTTTTTTAAATAAATAAGTGGTATTCGATTTTTAAAACCAAGGAGTTTTCAATTAAAAAGATTTTAATATGACAGGAACAGTGGAAATATTCCATTCCCGATACTTTTAGTACAGCCTAGTTAGATGATGATATTTCTATAGCCCACCTACCATATGGTGAACTATATGTTCGTTTGTCAAACTTATTCTTTATAAAAGAAACATAATTAGTTTTTTTAAATGCCACAAATTAAAACTACTGGCTGTAACCTTTATTTCCACACAAATATTATTTCCACATTAAAAAAAACCGAATGCATGTAGCAACAACACATTAATATTACTTTATAACCTAGTAGCGAAAGAAAAACAGACTTCCTCAAGCGCCGCCGTTTCGATATATCCTAAGTTGCACCATTTACAGTTTCACTTGCAGTTTTGCAATGAACGTTAACAAATATGTAAAGGTGTTAAAAAGAATTCCGTTATATGACGTAGAGATCATCCCTCAGTGTATAGCAAATCTAATCCCGACAGATGGCGGACAGTCTTTTAAATGCTATATGTAAATACGCCGTGTGCCTGCTGTAACCTCGTGGGTGCCGCAAGAGGCGACAGAGTGAGAGGAAACAGGAAATGGGCAGCAGCATCTTCCTGATCATAACTCAAAAATATTAAAAAAAACTGCGGCGACCAACTCCCCTGCTAAGCGTGGTCCGCTCCATGATAAAATCTATAGGCATGACTATGTTATGGTAGCTTTTGATAAGCTGTCATCATGATGCAAAATACTCCTGATTGGAATCACGGGGAAGCGATAGGGTAAGAAGTCTGACTGCGTAAGGTGTAAATTTATCAATGGAATGCAGTTAGTTACCATCAATTGGACTGTTTGTCATTTCATTTGCATAAAAAAATATTTCAGCTCAGATCAAACAAAACAGCAAACTCGCAAGCCGACACTTAGCTCTAGATTCTAGCAACAGAGCCATGTGGCCTACTATATAAAGAAACATCTCAAAGTAACAACTATTTTCTAAGTTTCTCACCGCAATCTCTTTCTAAAATCTTTATTGTTCGACAAGTCAAAAACATTAAAGTATTGGGTCATCGCCCCGTTTCTAACAGTGAGAATGTGTCGTAACTACTTACGAATTTGCTCTTGTGTTTTTATAGATCTTTTTCTTTGAGTTGCTTTCGTAACTTTTAGAATGTGTTAATAAGCTTAAGAACGACTCAGATTTATCTTGAAGAATTCAAAGTCCGCTTTACGTGTTGGAATTTAAAATCTATGTCATTTAGTGGCCGCATGATGTTAAAACTTTTGCCTGTTACAGTTTTGATTTTAGGTTTTGATTTATTACTTCTTTGACATAGTTAGAATAAGAAACTTGAATTAACTATAGTTGATGCTAATCTACTGTATGATTAGCATTAACTGTAGTTAATCCATCCATTGCAGCGATTGACTGGTTGGCAACCGCAGTTTTTTTATTATTCTGAGCCAGGATCCATCAGGATTTTTTCATCTGGTAGAGCCACGCTGCAGCTATATTAACTGGATGACCTTTTTTACCGTCTGGAAAAAAATTGGGTGTAAAATGTGAACGGAGTAGAAGCCTATGGCAATGATATTTAAAAAAAAATAAAAACAAAAATTTTGAAACTAAATAAATAAATCAAAATCTATTGAAATTCAAATCAAATCCACCCTACTTTACGAACGGCAATAAAACAATTTTAGTAAGCATCTTTGACCTTGTCACTTTGCAGGGTCACAGGCTCAAGGACAAAGTAATTGTTTGTTCAAATGTTCAAAATTTTTGTTTTTATTTTTTGTAAAATATCAGTACCATAGGCTTTACCTCCGTTCACATGTTACACCTTATTTTTTCCAGACAGTAAAAAAGGTCATCCAGTATATGATGTATTATAGGAGCTTTATACACCTGTTTCATATGATGAGTTTAGAGAACCGGATACCCTTTTTATTGAAAACTACGATATTATTTCTTGTAGGATATTACGCTAAACAACATAATGACACACATTACTATAACAATTACTGTAATGGCGTCGTCAGAGATTCCACTATCCCATATCATCCCATGGGCAGAAGGCCTTTTTTTATAGAATAATGGTGACAAACGGGCACGCAGTTAACCTGATGGTAAGTGGATACTGTGGTCCATAGACATCTATATCTATAAATGAGGTTTCAACTCCTCTGCACTCACCATCCGAAACATAGAAGCATAAAGCTGCCATTTTACCCTGGTATTTTGTAAGAGCGCGATCCTTCCCGGTCGAGTCGATTTATTCGTGTTACAACTGAAAATAGTAGTAGTTCATAGTTCTAATAAAATCCGAAAGTGAAGAGTGCCGAACCATAGTTCGCAGGAGCTAAAATGATAATAGACCATGTTATTCGAAGAACTGGCAACCGATTAGGAATCGATAGTAATAATAATGACGATGATGATAATCATTTGTATAATATCGTTACGTATAATTTTAAAACGCTCGATTTCAACGACAACTAGATATAGATTTAAACGAGAAACTATTTCCAAATTCTAATATATTAACAGTGAAATTTGTTCATTTTAACCATTAGGGTTTTTGTATTTTCGTTCGAATTTTGTTGCTTCGATATCCATTACACAATCAAATCAAGCCAAACAAGAATTTAATTTGAAAACATTTTTCATTATGACGTTTTATCCAGAAGCAAATTCCTCTGGTGTAGGCATGTGTGCACGAACCCGACTACATCTATCCTTGTCTATATTCAAACTCTTCCGTTTACATGCTATATCCTTCTCCAAATCTCCTCTGTATTTCATCAGGTCTGATCTCACAGCTTCAGCTTCTCTTAGCTTGTCATAAAATGCCTGAGAAGTCTCTTTGACAAATTTAGCTTCTGCCATCAATGCATACTGTGCTTCATCTCTACAATTTTCTACGTTAGGTCGACTATAATTTCTTGCTTGTAATCTTGTCATAACGAGTTTATTTCTCTCATCAATTTTCCTTAAAGAGTCTTTCAAGTAATCGATTAGCTTTTCTAAGTCTGCAGTTGTTTGTAAATTTTCTTTAAGGTTCTCTTCAAGCTTTTCGCACATTTCCTCTGTCGCAGTTATAGTATCTGCTAATGCAACGTTGGTTCTGTCTGCCTGTAACTTCATATCCTGACTGCCTTTTATTATAGCAGTCATCAAGTCATTTCGCAGATCTTCAGACTTTTTTCTAACTTCTTCACAGTTTCTGATACTTTCAACACAGTAATGCTTCCAATACTCCAACGAAGTAGCATTTTCGGGCCATCTTGCAACACCAGGATGAAAGAATAGTAAGTTGGAATCTGGTGTCAACTTTAAATTCTGTCTGTCGAGTCTTAAACTTGTTAATTTGTCGCTCCAATCACCCTCAATTGCTGCCTTAGCGGCCCTATTCATTGCCATTTGCTCTTCTACTTTTGATAAAGTATTCATAAAAACTCTTCTTATTTCTCCAACAATTGCAACTTCTCTAATTAATTCCTGTTCAGCGTCATCTCTTACTAAATCAGGTTCGTATCTTTGAGTGCGTAATTCCAAACACTCCCTGGAAATAGCTTCGGGTAACATTAAAATCCGACACGCACCTTTTAAACGAGCTCTATCCTGATCCAAAGCATTAATTTCATCTGTAATAGCTTTAAGTGACTTTTCGACCTGTTTTTTCCAATAATTTAGATCTTCAACTCTTTTATCTAATTGTTTATTTGATTCATCTAGTTTATCATCCATATTGGTAAAAGCATTAGCAATATCTCTCTTAGATTCTGTTTCAAAAATTTTCGCTTTGTTTACTGCTCTAGGAGTTAGAATATATTCGTTATTTTTTCGCCATTGTCCAGTACTATACCTTGTGATAGAATATTTGTCGACAACTGGTCTCACACCGGTTATGCCCGCTTGAGGTGTCCAGTCCAAATGCCCAGCTGCCCAAGGATCTATGGTGCCCATACCAAGAAAATCTCCACTTATTGTGTCAGTTGGTTGAGGAAGATAACGTGGAGGAGCATCAGGGGGATACACTTTTGGTTGAGGTGGTTGCACACAACCGGGAACATAAGGTGTACATGCTGACTTGCCAGTTTCTTTCAATTTATCAATTTTTCTATCGACTTCAGCATTTAAATTATTACCATAAGATGGACAAATGTAAGGGCACGTGGACATATTGTTAACAAAATTCATTTTCCGTGAAATTTAGATAAAATATTAATTTTAGCTTAAGATTTACAAAATTAAACTGAATTATTAAAAAACGTCATTATCTAATTTAATGACAATATATTGACAACTGTCACAATTCTCCAATATATATAATAATATAGTGTCACGATCGTAGACAATACTAAGCAGTACATAATAAACACTTGGCTAAGTAAGTGAAAGATATTACTGGTCACGCTGGATTTTTTTTTACTTCTTTGTGTTGGTGAACGTAAGAACATTTTGTATAGGTTATAAATTATAATATCACACTTGTATTTAAGCGGTTAGTGATTAACTAATAGATATAATGAAAATTACTGAAAAAAAATTATAATATAATACACCATGACCCATTTGTGTTAATTCATTTTATAATTAGGTGTGAAATTTCAATCTTCTATGTGAAACACTCATAGAGAAAATCTTTTGGTGACAAACCGACACCGAGGTGCTAAAAATTCTCTTCTTAGTAACGCAAGGTACTAGTGTGAGCCGTGGTAGCTCAGTGGTTAACGCTCGCTGTAAATATAACAGAACGCGAGTAACCCGGGTTTGATCCCCGCCGGCACCAATGAAATTGTTAATTGCAATTTTAAGTGCTGATTCACCACGTGCTCGACGGTGAAGGAAAAACATCGTGAGGAAACCTGCATGTCTGAGGAATAACAAAAAAAATATTTCGAAGACATGTGAAGTTCGTCAACACGCATTTGGGCAGCGCGGCGGACACTTCCTTGCCCTAAACCCTCTCAGAAATGAGGGGAGAGGCCTGAGCCCAGCAGTGGGATGTATATAGGCTGTAACTTTACTTTTACTTTTCTAACGCAAGGGAATCTCAAGGCCGAGCTAAATTACTAGGAATGTAGGGTTGCCAGCTTCCGTTATATGTTTTAGAAGATTTGCTATGATGTATCAGAAGCAACATTTATTAATACAAAAAAAAAACCATGTTAAAACGCAATGTAACATACTTTATCTCTCTAACACCGCGCGTCACCTCAGTGATTTTTAAACTCTGACATCAACTAGCAGAGACCATGTCGAATACGCACGATATCGCCTTCTCCTCTATTAAAGATTTCAAATTAAGGGACAAGATCAATTTTTGGATCTGAGGTAGAGGAAGTCACAATTCCTTAAATTTACGCGAAAACTACACATTGAATAAAACTACTTATACAGATTTTATCGCGTTTAGTTAACTAATTTAAACTTACTTTTTTAATTTTATTTTTAATTCCCGACGTTTCGGGTGCTGAGGGGGTGGACTGAGATGTTTGGCGTCCCAAATCTCAATGTCATAGTTAGCCGGGCTACATTCAGTTTTTAAATATTAATTTTTAGTCTGATCTACGCAGAACTAGCTTAAAATATCTTGAAGTCTTGCAGTGGTATGCTTGGGTTTGGATTTAATTTTGTTAATTATAGGATCCCACGCATTTGGCAGCACCAATAAATTTTTTCCATTGAAATTAGGATGTTTATTAATTTCAATAGCCTTCCGTGTCATTCTTAGTAGGAATTAGTGTTCTTTTGCGAGGATTTGTGGTTTATCAAATCTGAAGTATTGGTGGAAACGATCTTGAATATATTCACACTGCAGACTGCACTCAGTTCAACCCGACGCCGAGTATCGTGGAACGGCCGCTAATCGTGAGAGATTATATATAGCTACATTGTTGATGCCGTCTCGTAAAACCGAGTACAAGTTAGATACCGATTTTTGTAATGACTATAATCACAGTTTAAAAGCAGTATCGTGCTAGCCGAGTTCATTCGCTTAAACTTGCGAAGATCTCCAGCCGATATTTTATATAGTACGCAGTACGTTTCTCTAGATTATCAAATTAACAAGTGAAATACGAATTCATACGTGGTAGAGCCACGCTGCAGCTATATTATAGTTGTAGCACGATTGAGTCAGCTCAACCGGGGAAGGACTACGCTCTCACAGAATACCAGCATAAAATAGCAGCTGCTGTGTTTCGTATGGTGAGTGTAGAAATCTGGTGACTCTTTATTTACTGGAAACGAGGCATTCCATCTAAGTCCTTAACGGTGATAACGCATCTGCATTTTGATTTCTAATAGAGAATAAATGTAGATGTCTATGGGCCACAGCATCTACTTACCATCAGGTATACTGTGTGGTCGATCATCACCCTTACTCTATAAAAAAATATACTTTTTTTTAAATATACCACATTTTCATAGAATTTACATTGTCATCGAATTCTGAGCTATGTTCATAAATTCATGTGTAGCTTATCAGGAAGTCAGTTTAAAATCAATTACGAAATACGACTCGAACAGACGTACGCGAAAGCGAGTTAATGAAACGTGGTAAGATTAATTTCTTCGTTCATCATTGAAATCAAATTGTGTGTGTAATAATACTTCAGTATTAGAAAACGGATTCTTAATTTGCGTGCAAATAATTTAAACGGAGTGTCGGCTGGCAAGACATACAGTAAGTTGATTGGGCTCAGAACCATGCTCTGTGGCATTTCTTGGGTAAGGCTAAGGCCGATGTGTAGCAGCTTGTGAATGGCTGTGACAATGATTTAAATTATAGCATGAAGAAATTAAGTACATTTATAAATAAATACATATTTTCGAAAACAAATTTAACTTAATCAAAAACTAAAATCTGAGGACCTGTAATTTATAACAATAAATTCTCTGATGGCCAACGAAAAATTGTATATTTTCGTTAATACATGCGCGCACAATTCTATTCAACTTTAAGTACCTACCTATTAAGTAAAATATAGTGATTATATACTCTTTGGTACTAAGCACGGAATAACGTCAGTATATATTCTAATGGTCGCCACACACGGTCAGTTCAACTGATCAGTTCAAACTAAGACTGTTGATATTCTTTAAAATATTGGATTTTCGATATATCGATTAATAAACTTATATATAAAACTCCAATATTGATTGATATATTTATAATAATTGATTTATCGAAAATTCAATATTTTAAAAAATATCAACAGTTTTAATTTGAATTGATAAGTTGGAATAATCAGTTGAACTGACCGTGTGTGGCGTCCATAAGTCTATGCACAGAACAATATCACTCTCTATTGGTACCTAGGCTGCACTAAAAGTATCGGGAATGGAATATTTCCACTGTTCCTGTCATATTAAAATCTTTTTAATTGAAAACTCCTTGGTTATTATTGGTAATACATTTATTTATTTAAAAAATTTTCTCGGTCTTGTCACACTTATTTAGTCGTTGAGAAAATGGAATTGACTCGAGAAAATTCAAGAGCGATGATTTATTATGACATGAAAAACAGTGTGTTGACCGGATGATTTCTTCTGCATTTGGTGATGAAGCCCCATCTAAAACCATAATTTATCGCTGGTTTGCTGAATTTCAACGTGGACGTGTCAAGCTCAGTGATGATCCCCGTCAAGGTCGTCAAAAACTGCAGTCACCCAAGAAAACGTTGATGCTGTGCGTAAGCTGATTGAGGAAGATCGACATGTGACATACCGCGAAATTCAGGCAACTTTACATTGGTATTTTTACATTGCCATGAGTCAAATACAAATAATCTTGCATGAACAATTAGGTGTAAAAAAGTTGTTTTCCCGATGGATACCGCATTCGCTCTGTGAAGAGCAAAAAGCGGCTCGCGTTACTTGGTGCGTCAGAACTCTCGAAAGATTCCACGCAGGATCCTCAAATGCTGTATACAACATCGTCGTATACGTGTACGAATCCTGGATATACGCGTACGAACCCGAAACAAAAAACGAGTCACGAGTTTGGGTGTTCGAAAATGAGTTAAAGCCAACAAAAATTGTTCGTTCACGGAGTGTTGCAAAAAAAAAATGGTGGCCACGTTTGTCTTCAAAACCGGCCATGTTACGACTATTCCTCTTGAGGGACAAAGAACGGTTAATGCAGAATGGTATGCTAGCATTTGTTTGCCACAGGTCGTTTCTGAACTCCGTAAAGAGAACTGCAACATCCGCATCATCCTCCATCACGACAATGCGAGTTCTCACACCGCACACAGAACAAAAGAGTTTTTAGAGCAAGAAAACATAGAATTATTAGACCATCCGCCGTACAGCCCCGACCTAAGCCCTAATGATTTCTATACTTTCCCTAAAATAAAGAATAAATTGCGTGGACAGAGATTTTCATCACCTGAAGAAGCTGTGGACGCCTACAAAACGGCCATTTTGGAGACCCCAACTTCCGAATGGAATGGTTGCTTCAATGATTGGTTCCATCGTATGGAAAAATGTGTCAAATTTCGCGTAGAATACTTCGAAAAGCAATAAATACATTTTTAAATAGTAATGTTGTGTCACTTCCTTGATTCCCGAAATTTTCAGTGCCGCCCTCGTATTAGGTATAAGTCCTCTCCCATGGATTGCCTCATAGGGGAAGTTGTTTGCCATGGTAGCTAAGCTTGGTAGGCAAGTTGGCAACTGCGGTTTTTTGTAACTCATGGCCAACTACTCAAACGCTAGTTAATTTTAAGATGTTAAGTTGTGGTGTCACAGTAACTTTGACATACAAACAGTACAAGACTCAGCTTTAAACTGGGAAGCTTATGAGCATTTAGGTTGTCAACAGGAAGATGCTGGTGCCCAGCTGTTTCTGTTTCATTTTGTCGCCCCTTACAACACCAACGGGACGATGTTGATGACATGGGATCATAGAATACTATATTACATACATAATAGAACGGGGGAGTGTGCGAAGCCCGTGTAGCCACTAACATGTTAATTCATACGTATAAATGTCAACACAATCAATCGTTTCCATACATATTTCGTTTCAAGTGTCGCCGCATGAAAATTATTTAAAAAATGTCAAATTGTGTAATAATGATGTGTCGTAAGAACAGCGGGAGATGTAAATTAAATAAAGGAGACAATTTTTCCACCAGTAAGTCGAAACTATTTATATTTTGTGAATATTAGAAACAAAAATAAATAAA